GGGGGCAGTATATGAGTGGGATAATTCTAGGGAGGGGCCCTGAGAAGGTGACATAAGATCTGAGGTCCATGAAGGAGTCATCATGCATATATCCACCCTGCCCGGGGCTGGACCTCCAGGCTACAGGATGCCTTGAGGAGTGTGGGGCTAGGTGTTCTCAGGTGTGGTTTGTTGGTGAGTCTGTCCTTCCTCTTGTTGGCTTTTGTCTTTGGCTTATTGCTTCACAGTTGCAGAATGGTAGCCACTGCTCCTGCCATCACAGCTGTGTCCAAAGCAGAGTGGAAGCTGGGCGGGCAGGCAGAAGGCCCTTCTCATCCTGGGCCTATGCGTCTTTCTTCTCTGAGGGGAGAATTGCTCCCAGCATCCGCCAGCAGACATCCTCCATCATGTCCATTGGCCAGAACTGGCCCAGACTACCCACATCCCTGGCAGAGGGGAACAGCCTTGGCCCAGACTGACTTCATCTTTGGGGGCTGCTCTGTTGCTTCCTGGACAGGGTCAGGGTTCTAGGGCAAGGCAGGAAGGGGAGTGGCGGCAGTGCCTATCCCAGGTACATTGTTCGATTCTCAGTTGACTGACGGGGAAAACTGTGAAAATCAGAGACAAAGTGGGCCCTGCCCCCTGGTTTCCCCAGAGTAAAGGGCCGACTCAGGACTTGAACTCTCAGCGCTGTGGGAGGCAGCGCAGCGTGTTGGTTAAATGCCTTAGGCTGGCCAGCTGCCGACCGTGTGGCCTTGGCCACGTCAATTCACCCCTCCTGCCTCAGTGTCCTCATCGGGAAAATGGGCATAATAATAGAAACCACAGAGGAAGAGAAAGGATTAAATGGGGGTAATGCAACCAGTGCCTGGGATTCAGGAAATAGTACGTTTCGCGAGTAGTTAGTTTAATGAGTTATTCATATTATCGGTGGGGGTGGCGTTCTTCTTGCTGTGCAGCTCAGTGTCCTTCCCGTAGGTGAATTTTTTTCCTGCCAAACACTGGTTGAATTCCAGCCAGTGATTGAGGCAGATTACGCTGTGGTTGATAGGACTGTTATTACAGCCCTGTGATACGGGCTCCGTTTTATTCCCGCGTAACGGATTTACGGGGAGGTAGTGGGGAGGTGGGGAGGTGTGTTTCCATCCTCGGCATTCAGAGGGGGCAGACAGTCGCTGCCATCTGGCTGTCATGGGGCTCCTCTTGGCTCTCTCCTCCCGGAATCTTTTGCGCTTAGAGCTGGAGAGCCCAGGTGGGGGAGGGGAGGGACGGAGCTGGGCTGGAGCCTTGGTGTGTGCACCCCAGGCCCTGAAGGCAGAGCATGGAGGAAGGGGTGCGTTGTGCAGGCGTGGCAGGGGATCGGGTGGGAGCTGCACACTCCGTCCTCAGCCGGTCTCACTGAGCTCCCCCAGATCTGAGCCCCGCCTCCCCCACTCCCACCCCGCCACTGTCTCAAGGTGCACACCCTCTCCTGAAGGATCTCCGGGAAGCGGCCCGCTCTGCTGGCCAGTAGTCTTCCTAAAATCCGAATGAATCTGAGCAGGTCTCTCTTCCACCTAAAGCCCAGTCTTCTCGGCCTGGCTCATGGCCCCCCCACTGGCTAATCTAGTCCTTTCCCTCCTTCCCTGTCTTGCTTTAGCCAAACAGAACCCTGCGGGACTCCTGGGGGCTGTGCTGTGTCCGGGTCCTGAGCTTTTGCACACCTTCCTGCCCCCGGAATACTTGTCTTCCCTCCCCCTTTCCCTGGCTGACCCCCTAGGTCTTCACGGCTCGGAGGTCATATTTCTGGGATACTCTGACGGAGGTCAGGCTCCCCAGAATGGACTCTGAGACCAAGATTTCCCTGAGGAGGTTTCTAGGGGAGTGTCTGTGGTCGACAGAATGACGATCCAAGACGCCCACCACCTCTTCCCTGGAGCCTGGGAAGAGGTCCCCTTCCACGGCCAAAGACACTTTGCAGATGTGGGTAAGTTAAGGCTCTTAAGATGGGGAGAGTCTCCTGTATTCTCTGGGTGGGCCCAGTGCAATCACAGGTGCCTGAGAAGGAGGCAGGAGGGTCCGAGTCAGAAAAAGGGGGTGTGCTGCCCGGAGCAGAGAGAGGTGGGAAGGTGGCTACCCTGCTGGCTTTGAAGACAGAGGAATGGGTCATGAGCCAAAGAAAGCAGGGGGTCTCTGGAAGCTAGGAAAGGCAAGGAAACAGTCCCCGCTAAGAGCCTCTAGAAGGAATGCAGTCTTGTCTACTCACTTTAGACTTCTAACCTCCAGAACTTGTAAGATAATAAATCTGTGCTGTTTGAAGCTGCTAAGTGTGTGGTCATTTATCATCACAGCAGGGCAGTGCCCTGGGTTCGATGCTGGTAACGGGACACGGGACTGGGCTGGGGGCGCAGTGGCTGGGACATGAGCCCCGCCCAGGCCTCAGCCGGTCCCGTGGGAGCACTGGGGGTGCACTGGGGGTGCAGTGGGCCCGCAGGGTTGTCCTGAATTGAGGCAGGGGTGGGGCTGTCGCCTGCTGTCTTCTCCCGGTCCCTGGATGGGAGCTGCTCTGGGAGGAGGCAGCTCCTGGCAGGGACTCCGCTGTGAGCCACCACTCCCCACCACTCCTGTGATCCTGCGCCCAGCACGAGGCCCAGACTTGGGGGGCTGGGTGAGCGAGTGGAGCGAACGCCAGCCACAGCCCAAGTGCACACCCCGTCCCGGCCTCTGAGGCAGCAGCATCGGGGGGGGACACCTCGGCCTTCTTTCCAGGACACCCTGTCTGTGCAAGCGAGCCCCGTGGCTGGCCGGCGAGGGCCACCGGGAAGATAAGAACAACAGCGAGAGTCTCCGCTGTGCCGGGCACGATGCTAAATGCTCCCAGTGTGGGGACCCACTCCTCCCTAACAACAATCCAGTAAAGTCTCGTCTTTAGAGAGGAGAAAGCGGTGGCATCCACTCAGGGTAACACACCCAGCAAGTGTTGCTGCCAGGATGAACCCCAGCGGTTTGGCTTCAGAGCCCGCACCCGTAACCAGCACACTGTCACCCCCTGGGGGCCCAGGCCTGCGCGTGATCGCAGACAGGGCGGGCCTCGAACCCACGTCACCTCGAAGCTCTCCCAGCCGCGGTGCTGTACTGGGCCGGGAGGGGCAGATCACAAGGGCTGGGTTGTCAAGCCCGTCCTCAGAGCCTGCCGCTTGCAGAACATCCATCTCTCTGACACTTCCGGGTGGCCAATCCCATTGCCCCCTGAGAGCAACGTGGGCCTCACAGATGTTCTCCTTTCTGATGTGGTCTTCCTGCCTGAGGAGCAAACCGGGGAACTGACTCCGGCCTAAAGGGGCTGGGGCCACCCCCAGAGCCTGCGGTCCTAGAAGCAAACGCCCCAGAGGCACTCCCATCTGTTAGGCTCTCTCCTGACGTCTGTCAGCCTGCAGGAGTCTGCTGTGGCTATGTGACCTTGTCTGGTTTTGTCATGTGCAAAGTGGAACCAACAGTGGCTAATCAAGCATTCACCGTGGGCCAGAAACTAGCCTGTGTTTGTCTCTTAATGTGACCCTTTCCGTAGAATAAGGCTATAAGGCTATTTTATAAGGCTATTTTCTTCCTCCTTTTGTAGGTGAGGAGGCTGAGGCACAGAGAGATTAAGTAACTTGCCCGAGGTCACACCGCGGTTCCCCCCATCGGGCAGTTTGGACCTGAGTCTGTCTTCTTCACCACCTCCACCCAGGGTGGTTGAAAAATTACATGGGATAATATATGTAAAAGGCTTCAGATGATGGCACCAAGCCCTTGGTAACTCTTAGATGAGTAACTTCAGAAACAGAAAGCTGGTTGGGTGGCTTCTGTAACTTCATGACCTCCATCCTCCCGTGACGCTGACAGGTACCCATGCCCCCCACTGTCCTGCGGGCAGACTGTGTTCTCTTTGGGTCCCTTCCATGTCCCTGGGGCTTAACCTGCTGAGGGATATTTTCTGTCCTTTTGGGGTAGGTTTCAGCTCTTTGGGTGCAACTTCTCCTTTTCCATAATTCCTCTTTCGTACTCAAGGCACATTTAACCTGCAGACACCTTCATGGATTATGGGGCCTTCCTGAATCTGCCCCCAGCCTCTCCTGCCTGTCCTCCCTAGCCGCCCCCCCCCCACCAACTACCCCTCAGCACTCCCCGCCTTGGCCACAGCAACCCACCTCTACCATCCTATCCTGAGCAAAGCATGCTCCCCTGCGGCCAAGCAGTGACACATGCTGGCCCGTACCTGCACCCCTGCCCTGCCCCTGCCCAGTTGACCTGCTCACCCTCCAATCTCATCAGCGATGTCACCTTCTCTGGGAAGCCCCCCAACCACTACCCTCACCCCCAGTCAGGACCTTGCATCTTCTCTGCATCGTCATGGCCCCTGAGCCACCCCATCATGCTCTGATCACACCGTCCTGTGAAGGTCTGCTTCCTGGTCTCTGTGCCCTTCTGCTGAGACCCTTGGGAGCAGGACTGGGTCTGTGCTGTCTCTTGGTCCCCTGGCCCAGCACTGGGTCTGCGCTCGGCAGGTGCTCCTGTGTTTGTAGAAGGAAGGGCAGCTGGGGGCCTCACTGCTGTGGGCCGCTGGGATGGGTGGCAGAGCAGGAGACTCCTGGGGGAGGCAGGGGACCCCTGGCCGGTGGGAGATCTCCAGGGAGGCGGAGTGGACTTAGCCTTGATCCTAAGGAGGATGGAAGGTGAAGGAGCCTGGGGCCAGAGTAGGCTCTCCCTGGCTGAAGGGTGTGGTGAAGGGCAGCTGGGGGGTCTGTGGCCCCCACAGTGTGGGGAACATGTAAAAACCTGAAATGTTACATCTCTCTGGGGATCTCAAGAGGTCACCTTCTTCATCGCCTTTCTTTTTCTGCACTTAACAGCTGTGGCCCCGGGAGGGAGAGGGACTTCCCTCAAGGTCACTCAGCAAGTTGTAGGCAGAGCTGGAGCAGAGGATCTGGAATGTTCCAGGCCTGAACCCACGTGCCCTTTGGGGTAGGCCAAGGACTCCAGAGCCTGCTGTGCTGCCTCCCATGACGTTCATGTCACCCTCCAGGCCCTCGAATAGCGATCTGTCCCTCCTGCAGGTGAACCTGGTGCTGGGGGACGGCCGGTCCCTGGGTCTCACAATCCGCGGGGGAGCCGAGTACGGCCTGGGCATTTACGTCACCGGCGTGGACCTGGGCTCAGAAGCAGAAAGCAGTGGACTCAAGGTGAGCAGCTGGACTCCCACGGGCAGGGATGGGCGCCAGGGCTGCATGCGCGGGGCTGAGGGAGGGAAGGAGCTGTGTGTGGAGCTCTTTGCAGCTGATTTTTGGTCAGACCTGCAGCAGGGCAGTCAGCACCCCCGGCCCCCCTCGCCCCCGCTGAGGACTGGTCGCAGCCGGGAGCCCCCCTGGCTGCGTGCCCAGAGCAGGCAGCAGGGGCCTGCCCCTACCTCCCGAGCCCACCTCCCAGCAGTCCTCGGAGCAGGGCAGCCTTCCCCACATGCAGCTGGGCGGCAGGCCAGCTGAGTTCGTGACCGCGTTTACAAACGCCGCCGGCAGCTGCAGTGGCCCTGACCTCAGGTTCGTCGCGGAGCGTGGAGAGGGGAGAGCGGAGAAAGCGGGAGCTGGGTCGGGCTTGCACCCAGCGGCTCCCGGCTGCCGGTCCATCAGGGCAGCCGGCAACGGCTGAAATAGTATCGTTAGCTCGCGCTTTGGAGAAGGCTGACTATGGGCCAGGTACTGGTGATGGACTTCACGCAGATCTCATTGAACCCTCAGGCTGCCGCTCGGGCGAGGTGGCTCCGACCCTCACGTTTTCCAGTGGGGGAGGCGGACATGTAAAGAAGGTGACACCGACCTCCAAGGTCATGCCGCCGACAGGTTGCGGAGCAGGACTGTCTGGTCCACAGCCCGTGGCCTTAGCCGCTACGCCGCCCCATCCCCGCTGCCAGAGCTTGCTCAGGGCTTGGCGGAGTGGAGACAGTGAGCGAGGCAGGGACAAGGACGCCGGGCCCAGGAGACAGATCACCTAAATAAATGGCGGCTGTGTTTGGGCTAAATCCTGATGCCAGGGAAGCCAAGGCAGCAGCAATGGGAGCAGTGACCTTGGGCACAGGTGGCGTGTGAGCCCGCTTTGCAGAATGAGACAGGTTGGGGGTAGAGGGGCTGGGGAGGAAAGGGGTGTCCCTGAGGGAGCCAGAAGGTTTGACCGTGGGTAACCAGATGGCCGGGGAACGGAACACGAGATGAGACTGTGTCTTCACAATCTCAGCTTCTTTTTGGACGTACGATGCAGTTGGAAGAGCTCTGGGCTTGGAGTCCGGAAGATTGGGTTCGAATCCCAGCTTTGCTGTTTTAGCTTGAATAGCTGGGTGACCCTGAAGAGCCCCTCCACCTGTCCGTGCTTCCCTTCCCTTTCCCAGATAAGCATCAAAAATGACACCTCTTTCTCAGGATTGTTAAAAAGACGAGAGGAGGTACGAGCTGACGATGACATTAATAAGGAAGATTAAATTTATTGAGTGTCGCTGTTAGGGACTGAATCCATGTGTCCCCTACATTCATCTGTGGAATCCCTACCCCCCAACATGACGGTATTAGGAAGGGGGAGCCTTTGGGAGGAGCTTAGGTCATGAGGGTGGAGCCTCGCGAATGGGATTCGTGTCCCACGGAGCTCCCTTGCCACAAGAAATGGGCAGTCTGCAGCCGGGAAGAGGGTCCCCACCAGAACCCGACCGTGCTGGCCCCTGATCCCAGACTCCCAGCCTCCAGAACTGCGAGAAATAAATGTCTGCTGGTTTTAAGCCACCCAGTGTGCCATGCTTTGTCACAGCAGCCCCAGCAGCCTGAGACAGGCTCCTGTTTCTCCCGCGCTTTCTGCCGTTAGGTCACGTACCCGCAACACCCCTGTGAGAGCAGCTTCTCGGGTTAGCCCATTTTACAAGTGCAGCCGCTGAGACTCAGAGCGTCGCGCAGCTAGTGGGACTCCCACGCGGGGATGGGGATTCTGGTTCTAGAACCGTGCTCGGCACCTGGCCAGCTGGGCTGGCGGTAGAGGCTCCACGAACGTTGGTTGGGTCTGGTTGATTCTGAAATGCCCCTGGGTCCCCAGAGCGCATGCCGTGTTCTCAGGTAATGAGAGGGGGACTCCCAAGAGGAAACAATCTCCCAGTAGCCCGTGCACACATTTTGTTTAAGAAGTTCGTTATTTTGGGATAATTTTAGATTTACTGAGAAGTCACAAAGGGATTTCCCGTTTATCCTTCATCCAGCTTCCCCTAACGTCAACATCTTATATAATAACCACGGTATGTCCGCCAAGGCCAAGAAACTGACGTTGGTACGATGCTATTCGACAAACCACACACTTTCTTCAGGGTCACCAGTTTTTCCACTAATGTCGTCTGCTTCAGCCGACCACGTTGCATTTGGCCTGTGTGCAGTTTTAATTCCATTTATTTCTCACCCACCCCCAATTTCAAAAAAGATGAGTGGCAGTTTCTCGGCACCGAATAAGGATTTTTTTTTTTTTATTAAATAAATGAGTGAGAAGATTAGGGAGAAGAAATATGGGGGCTGAGAGAAAGGGATGAAGCCAGGGTGAGGGTCTTTTCCCAGAGCACTCGCTTCAGGCAGGCCGCAGATTTGGCTCTGAGCTTCCTGGCAGCCAGTTCAAAGACGGAAGCAGGTCAGAGACGTCTGTGAGGTGAAAACAGACCACCTGTGCTTGAGAAGCGCGGTTATTCCTCTTCCTGAGGCCTGAGAGCAATTTTCCTCTGGTCTCTCGTAGAGAGAATGCTTGTGATGACGTGAGCCGTGTCCTCCGTGACAGGAAACATATGAGCACATTCTATACTTTGTTGGTGGCAGATGCATTCTGACTGAATCCATGTTAAAAGAAAGAGAGAGGGAGCGTGGGAGAGGACATGTTAGGGTCTGGCCTGAGAGCCCTGGGCACGTTCCCGGTCTCTGTCTCTGCATCTGTCTCTCTCATCACTGACAGATGGCAGGTTTTATTATCATGTTGTCCACTTACTGAGGAGTCACCGTGCCAGGAACTGTGCTAAACACCTCACAGTGTTATGTGATTTTTAGGACAGGGTGTGAGAAAGGAATATTCTCGTCCCCATTTTACAGGTGGCAGATTTGGGAGCAGCGTTTAGCAACTTGCCCAAGGTCACCCAGCTAAGACGTGCTAGGTCTGTGCCCACCCAGCACACTTTAAGTCTGTGTTCTTTTTTTTTTCCTTGTTTTTTCTTTATAATTTTATTTTATTTAAACTCAATTAACATATAGTGCATTATTAGTTTTAGAAATAGAGTTCAGTGATTCATCAGTAGTACATAACACCCAGGGCTCATTCCATCACGCGCCCTCCTTAATGCCCATCACCCGGTTACCCCCCCCACCCCCTCCGTTCCATGTTCTTAGGCTCCACTGCCTCCCCTCCCAGTGATAATAGGTGTCGCAGTCTCCAGTTTACAGCTGAAGAGACAGAGGCTCATGGAATTGCAGGTCAAACTCTTTCTAATGTCAGAGCTGGGATTTGAACCCAGGCCTCACAGAGCCTGGGCTTGCCTTGTGTAGGGGAGGACAGGAGCCCTAAGACCTGCTGCTGACCAGCTGTGTGAGGGTGGCTGTGTCCTTCCCCTCACTGGGCCTTGGTCTCCCTGCATGGACAGCAAGTAGCTGAATAGTTGGGCTGGATGATTTTGGAGGCTTTGGCCTAGATTTGTACATTTTCCCGGCCCGAGAGAGCCAGAGGGTGCCCAGACGCCAGGAACATACTCCGTTCCCCTTCAGGGGAACCCTGTGGGTCCCCATAGCCACAGAGAGATGGCGAAACAGGTAGCCTTCTGGCAGGTGTTTTATGAGGAAGGAAGGGAGGAAGGGAGAATGGGAGGGCGGGAGAGAGGGGACATTATATGAAGGCAGTGAGTGTCCATGGCTGCCCCTCCTTCTCTACCTTCCTTTTAATCAGCAGGTATATACTGAGGACTCCTGCGTGCCAGACACAGTGCTCGCCCTGTGGCTTCTGAGCTGAGCAAGACAGATAGAGTTTCTGACCTCCAGGAGCTTACTTTCTATTGGGAAGACAGGGCGGGTCAGGGGTGGAATTACTCAATTGTGTAATTACAATCAGGATAAATAATAAGAGGGCAAAGCACATGGAACCATGTGGGTATATAACAGGGGAGGCCGGCTCTGATCTTGGATATCTGGGAAGGCTTCCTGGAGGAAGAAACATTTCAGTTGAAATTTAAAAGAAGAGAAGAAAATTAATGATGTAAAGGAGGAAATGAGAATTCCAGGCAGAAAGAATAGCAAACGCTTAAGTCAGTGGGAGTGAAATGTTCCCAGATGCAGAGGAAGGCCAGTGTGGCTGAATGCAGGGAGCCAGGTGGGGAGAAGGTGCCAGATGATGCGGACAAAGTGAACAGAGCCCGCTCACACAGGGTGTGTAGTTCACCCAAGACCGTGCAGCTGTGAAAAGATGATGCTCAGGATCCGCAGTTAGTAATAGGGAAGGATGTCCAAGGTCTGTTATTAAGTGGGGAACACAGGCTGCAAAACCGCTGACCTAACAGGATCTCACTCAGACTGTAGATGTGTGTAAAAATATGCGCAGAGAACACGGAGAAACAGCCACACCGACCTGTACCAACATGTCAGCCTGGTTATCCGAAGGCGGTAGGATGACAGACGACTTTCACTATTCTTCACGTCCCTGCGCAGGGTCTGAATGGAGTGAATGTTACTTTTATAAGCATGAAAGCAGCAACAGTAGAACTGTGCCCGTTTTGAAACAAGGCCGCAGAAAAACATTCCATGGAAGTTTCCCGGTCATTTTGGCTTGCTACCCAGTGGCAGGCAGTCAAAGGCTTTATTTGCTCATCAAATGCCCGCCCCCAGAAGAGGCCTTTCCTTCTTCGGTCCCCGCCGCAGGAAAGCACTTTACATTCCCTGCCACTATCTCATGTCCCCCCTCCAAGTTCCCTCGAATGTGCTAACACCTGCCCACACTCACTCGGGCATCCAGGACTGATTAATTCCGTTCATTGCCAATGCGCTGTCAGTGGAATCAGGCATATTGAAATGGAATAAAGGGGCTTGGCTGGGTGGGTGGCGGAGCCAAGAATAGGCTTTATTTGTCAGTAGGGCTCCTTGCCGCTGGGCAGAGCTTTCCCGGGGTGGAAACCCTGCCTTCTGCCTGGCCTCCAGCTGCT